TTTTTCACTGCTGTTCAAGTAGCCCAATTGTTCGCTACTATGGTTTGCAAGTTACACAGCATGCTAAAAAGTATCTTGTCTGATCGAGACCCTATTTTTGTCAGTCATTTTTGGCGTGAACTATTTCGGTTGAGTGGCACGAAATTGAGAATGACGACATCATACCATCCTCACGGAGATGGGCAGACTGAGGTGGTCAATCGAATACTTCAATAGTATTTGAGAGCTTTCTGCTATAACTAACCGACTCAATGGGGCAAATACCTTCACTGGGCAGAATGGCACTATAATTCTGCTTATCAAACTTCAACTGGAATGTGTCCATATCAAATAGTGTACAGAAAACCACCACTCTCTCTTCCTCAGTATCTGATCGGTTCTAGTGCGTTGGAAGCTGTTCAAGAGGAGCTTGAGAACCGAGAAGCTATACTGGAAAAGTTGAAGAACAATTTGCTCAAAGCTCAATCCCACATGAAAGAAAATGCAGATAAGAAACGCCTCCCTCATCCTTTCAAAGTTGGTGACCTTGTGTTAGTTAAACTCAAACCTTACCGTCAAAGTTCAATGGCAGGTAAACGTATTAAGAAGCTTGCAGCAAAGTTTTATGGGCCTTATTTGATCACCAAAGCTATTGGTGAAGTTGCATTTGAACTAGAGCTCCCAGCAGAATAAAAAATCCATCCTATTTTTCATGTGTCCAAACTTTGACCATTCCTTGGAAATGCTACTGCTGCTCTCCTTTCCTTACCACCCACTACTGCGGCAAACCATCCTCAAATTCAACCAATGGCCGTCATTGCTTCCAAAATGGAAGGAGATCCACCAACTGAGTTTGTGTTGGTACAATGGCATGGACTTTACGCAGAGGACTCTAGTTGGGAGTCACTTACGGAATTGTTAGCTGAATTTCCAGAATTACACCTTGAGGACAAGGTGTTTGTTCCACGGGAGGGAGCTGATATGAATGAAGATGAAGACATGAGACGTGGGCTTAAGGATGATGAGGTGGATCCCATTGAGGAGATAGCATATCAATACCTTGAGGTCCAAAGGGAGAAGAGGCCCAAGCTGGACAACCTAAGTGGATGGGTCCATTCGTGGTGGACATTCCAAAATACAAGAGCAGAGACAAAGATAGGAAAAATTAGTTAGATTCTAAATTGTTGGGACGTTGCAATTTACTAATTCTTATTTGATTATATATGTGCTACTCACTTTTGGTGCGAGATCATGAATGAATTGATTCTAAATCTTTTCTCTGATTCTCTGAATTTCTCTCTCCCTCTTCCTTGTTTCATTTCTAGAGGTTACCTACCTTCGAAGCTAGGTGTATCAAATTACAATTGACAACTGTACTGATATGACAACAAACTTCTCAACTTGAACAACATACCAAATCCAAAACTGCTGGGGGCATGAATTACTGGAGTAATGATTTTCAGGTTTTATGATCTCATGTCAGTCCAGAGTTTACAGATTGAAAGCTAGCTCGTGCTATTTAGTATTTTCCATTGGACGGAATATTCTTGTTCTACGTGAATTATTGGCATCATTGATCTCTTTTCTCCAATCGCATGTTATTCCCTCTTGGCTAGTGCTTGGATTTCACTTTCGTTTTTCATTTTATCTTTCAATGGTTTCTTTCTTTCATTGTGTGCTTTCATAATGTTCCCATATTGTAGTGTATCCAAGGGACTGTTTCTCAGAGAAATGGGTCAGAGTTACACAATTAATTGAAACTTTGGTGGCACAATATGCAGTGTAAAACTTGCTCTCAGTCTCAACACAGAAAGGTTTAAATAATTTTATGTTATTTTGAACATTCTTCTATTGTAATTCGGCAAACAATTTGTTTTTTGAAAAAAATAACCCAATTGTACGTAATGCACTCTGGAGGATATAATATAATAATAAACAAGCCTGTATTCCGCTCTCCTTTCCAAAAGCAGGTGGTAAAGGTAATATAGTGGATTTTGTACAGAGACAACCAAATTTCTAATGCAAAGTGATTTATGAAGGGTTGGCCACTTTATTTGGAGTTTGTTGTTCAGCAATAGGACCATAAATATGATTTTCTTTTCTTCCTCGTAGGGAGATGCCTGTATTTGGAAATTTCCCAAGGTGCCACCTCTTACTGTAACAAAAGAACATTATATATATATAAACATAAAATTGTAAGCTAAACATTGCTCAAAGTCATAATAAAAGACTAAATGGACCTGCATTCAAATTGTCTCTATGCTTGATTCAATAGTAGAAGGCTTAAGTAGTTGAGTGGGTGGCGTTCCTCCAGTCTAGAAGTGTCAGATCAACTTGAGTTGCACATAGCAAAGGTAATTGCACAAAACATGCTTAAGTTGGTACCTAAACAAAGTTAGACAACAGTAGTGTTTTCAAAAGGAAGACACCGTTATATTAGGAATAATCTTACCATTTATAATGAAGAGGGGTATCCCTAGGGACTGCACAATGCATCTACCTTTCGTATATTGAAGGTCGATGGTTGTCTTACTTTTATGTATCTTGGGTTGAATGGTCAATTACAAAGGTAGCGAGATAGCTGATACCGTATAGCTTTACAAACTACGCCATCCTTTCGGAATTTTGGTAGTTCAGTAATAAGGGAAAAGATTGTGAGAATACTTAATGAAGTTGTTTTTACTTACTGGTACTGACATACAGCAATTAGATTAGATTCAATAATCCTTTGTGTGCTGATTAAATCTCTATTAGATTACTATTAGTGCCCGGTATTTGCAATATTTTCTTCTTCTTAAAATATGATATATCTACTTAATTTTCTTAAATTATTCATAAGTGCAACTAGTTGTTTTGTGTTTAAAATATTTGGCAACACCGTTGTTTTCGGCCTTTTGCTTTGGATAAGGGCAGGGAGGAAGTGGTCCAGTTTTTGGTATAAACCGACACTTTAGCACATTATTAACATATCATTATTACTCATTAAAATAATAAGAGGTCTGGCCTAGGAGGACAAATGAAAAAATAGAGACGTAGTGAGAACTTTTTAATTGGGAGTTAGAACAAAAATTAAAAACTTGAAGCCGAAAGAGATAAAAAAAAAAATTACTTACATGGTAGGTGATTTGTAAATTTTGTATATATTTTCTTAAAATTAAATGTTTCATTTTTTTTTGTATAATATTAAGTACACACAACAATGTAAGTGAGCTAAGAACAGATAATAATAAAAAAAAACAATGAACTTTTATTTTAATCATAAAAAAATAACATTAAAAGATATACAAAATATCTAAAAGACCGAATTGATATTTGGCAAAAAGAAAAAAAAACTTTAGGTCTGGTAAAATTAAGTAAAAATTTATGTCCTGTAACTTATAATTATCATGTTAGTTAGCTGAAAACTTATAATTTATAACTAGTTAATTAAATTAAATCTATTTGGTAAAATTAGTTGCACAACTAGTTAGTAGGTGTTAAATAACTAAAAAAGTGTTAAATTTATTTTAAGTGAGAATAAATTATAAAAATTAAAAATAGAAATAGAAAATTATTGAAAAACTAACTTGTAATTAGTTGAATGTTTCATGAAGTAAATTTTTATAAATTAACTTTCAAAATGCATAATTTTTATTTCTAATTTTTTCTGATTTATTGAAAAAAAAATATAAGTTCCTAAATACCAATATTCTGTTTTAAGTGAGATTTACATAATAAAAAATTAAAAATTTTGGACGGGGGCATGGCTGCTGCCAGTAGTACCCTTTCTTTACGCCCTTGCCATTAAAATATGTTTTATAATCACCACTCACCAGTAATTTATGTTCATATGAGAACCGCAATCATATTGATGACTCTTGATAGAGATCATGGGAAACCTCATCCATGTTTGAAGGTGAGGAATATTATAAAAGATTCATTTCATTTTATTTTTTTACATGCTTGTACAAGCATTCCATGACACTGTACAAATATTGTGTGACGAAAAAACAACATTTTTTTACTTTAATAAATCACGTCTTGAGAATCATCATTTCCCCCCGTCTGCATCAAATTGAAAGTGAAACAAACAGACTATACAAGATTATAGTTCTTTATCAGATTAAATTATAATTTTTTTCCCTTGAGAATAATTGAATCTCAGAACTGATTCTTTCTAAAATATGTACCCGAAAAAAGATTCCTTTTAAAAAAAGAAACACATGGTATTCTGAAAGTTTTCAATTTATAGTTTTATATAATTTTCATAATACACTTTTTATATTTTATTTGAATAAATTCACATAATGTTTTCTTAAATAATTTTCCTCTTTTTAATCTTTTATGTTTTATTTAAATTTTAAAATATTCAAATAATATACAACATACTTACTAATTGTGTTAAAGCTAGGAAAAACTTGCTATAAAAAAATATAGGGAAGACTTTCTATACCTACTTCATTATATTACTGATTACATGATAACCTGTTTTAAGAACGAAATATGAAATGCATATTGACCTTTCACAACATATCATCATCGTCATCGATGGATTATACTCTCTTTTCATGAAAAATTAATTTATGCTATGTTTTAACTTATTTTAATATGAACAAGCTTTTCGGTGAAATTCAATCCGTGGTGGAGAATGGGGTAAATTATTATTCTTAATAGTTAAGAGTATTAAATTTGTCCATTTAAGATAAGATACAACCACCACCACCGGACCAATTTCTTTTAATCTTTTGGCTCTCCACACGCAATAGGCTATGCATATTGAATATTCTGGTTGACTCTGAAATTCCACGTACAATTCACCCATTATTACACTATAAATTTTCTTATTTTTTAACAATAACATTTTAAATAATTTTTTTATTCTCGTTAAATTAAGTTACTTTTTAATTAAGCATTTTATTTTGTATTTGCAATTTTATCTTTCAAAAGCTATTGCTTAATTTTAATTTTAATTTTTTAATGTTGATATATTATATCAGATTTTTTTGGTAGTTAAGTCTATAAAAGTATGGTGTAGTGGGAAAGGTAGGTTGGATCGTCAGTTAGCCAGTGGAATTGATGAACGCTTCTTTGATATAAATAAGATAGCTGAAGAGGCTCGTGACAAACAAGTGAGAAAGCTCCAAGGTTAGTTACAATGAAGCAACGAAAGGAAGAAAGTGATGTTTATGAATCAAAGGTAGTGGTGGTTCCACTTCCAAGGTCACCACCCCCACTTCCAAAATTTCGCGTCTTCTCAACAACAAGAAGACCAGAAGAGAGTGTGACAAAGCGAGAAATTGCCACGTTTTGGAGGCAAAAGAGGATTGAGGAGGAGGACCATTTCCTTGCTGCTATCAAAGCTGCTGCTAGACTCCGTGCACGCAATCTCACGGTAAGTAAAGTGCTTCATAGTTCATAGCTTAATGCAACCTAGTGTTCTTATAAGGTAGTAGTTATTAATAAAGCTATTTTCTTGATTTTCAATCCAGTTAAACATGCTTTTCTTAATTTATATTTTCTGTTCTTTAATCAGCATTCGTAGAGTAATAATTTGCAAGACCTTTAAATTTAAAATGTCAAATTAATCTACTCGAACTGCTCCTTCGTATAGCCTCAAATCACTAGAGGCCTCAAGGTTGATCTTGATCATCAACTAACAAGAAATAGGCTTTGTTTTGTTCTTTTTTTTATCTGTAAGATATAGAGATAGCTAGTTTTGAAGGAATTTTCTTATTTGATTAGCAGGCGTATCACATAATTTTTATGTATATTTTGAATTATCTGTTATAGGATATGGTTGTTTATACGATATTTATGAATGGATGCTTCTTGCTCCTCCATCTTACTAATTAATTACAGAAGGAAGAGTACGAGAGCTTCGAGTTGTCCTTGAAGAGTGATGATGAAGTCAAGGAAGAGAGGGTCAAATGGATTGAAGGGACAAATGATTATTGCAAAACAGTTGCCAGTGACAAGGAAGTGCGCGTCGGAATAAAAGATTGGTTAGTTTGATTACTTTCTAGCAGCAAATATCTAGTGTAGTTTTTATAATTGTACTACGTTAATTACTTTCTAATCTTTTTTATTTTTAATTCTTTAATTGATACTCTAAAGCGTTTGTTAGCATTTTATCTACAGATTTTTATAAATATGTTCAAAATAATTAAAATATAAATGTTAAGAATATTTAAGAAAAAATAATTAAATTAATAAAAAAATATAAGTATTTAAATTTTTAATGTTAAAATTTAATTTAATCGATTAAATGTTGTTTCAATAATAATTTATAAATATCTCATTATGTTGAATATTAATTAAGGAAATTAAAAGATTTGATTATTATTAACTAAAGAAATTATCAATTTGTTTTTATATGAAAATTCAAATGACATATATTATAGAATGATAAGTGCATGACAGCATGAAAAAAATGTCGAAAAGTTATTGTCTTGTAGAACTAAGTTGAAAATATTAGATTGTGGTGTATTCAGTACAAGAAGGCTATTGCTAGCTATTCTAAATAGATGCGTCAAGTTGATGCTTTATTTCAGTTGTTGGTGTGGGGCCGTGGGGTTTTGGTGCCACATAAATGAAAACACAGTCACAGTTGAGCGATTTGATAATTGAATTATAGGCCATCCATGAAATGACTAATAGGAGTTAAGATACAATAAATTGGAAATTTAGAAATGGGACGAAACTTGACAATGTATCTGAGCTAGAGAAAGTGCTTCACTCCTCCCGTTCCCACGGGCCACCCCCAATGTACCATACACGGACAATTAATAGCATTTTAGATAAGATAACTCTGAATAAAAATATCAATGTATACGAATAACTTAATTTTAAAATTGTTAATTTTTATAGGTAAAAACAATTTTTATTCTTTACTTTGTGAACAAATTTACCATCGGGAGCTTTTTTTGTTCATAACACTTTATATTAGGGGGAAATATGTTGATTTCATTTGTTGTGACGTGCAGGTGGACAAAAAGCAAATATGCATATTTGAATCAACCAGCCATAGATTTCATGGATCCTCCTAAGAAACGAACCTCTACTTATGTTCCTAATTGTCTTTCGTACCGGCCCAAGCCTTTGTATCCTACTGCTATTGGTGTCTTTTAAGCCACGCGCCATTCCACTGTTGTTGTTACACCTGTTAGTTTCCATGTGCATGTTTTCATTTGTCATTCTTTTTGCTTTTAGGGTCCAATGTTTCGTTTGCCATTCAAATGTGTCATCCTATTGTTATGTTTCCTGGTTATTTACCAGTGATAGGATTAACTGAACATTAAAGCTCTTGTTATATATTTATTAATAAGTATTAAGTAAGATCTATTTAACAAACATCATAAACGTACTCATTAATGAATCAAAAAATAAAAATACTTAAAACAATATGTATTCTAAATTAAAATAATGTTTTTTCCTTCTTGCTCTTGTTTGCAACAAAATAAATATGAACATGTTAAAAGGCCAATTTTTTTTTATCAATAAAAAAAAAACAATTGGGGCATTTATCATTTATGTGTAGAAAATCCGTCCACAAGTTTTATATGGAATTCAACTGGAAATTAACTTTTACTTGAATACTAGATGAACAAGTGCCAAATTTACAGGTGTTAAAATAGACGAAATTTGATAGTCTAATCTAAATAATCCCCCACAAAATACATGAGTCGCGTTAACAAAATTAAAGACTCGAAATAAATTGGCAACTTGTAAGGTTGAAATTACCACAATTAATTACTATAATTAAGGTTAACAATAAGTTAGACGCCCATAAGGACTTTATGGCCTAAATTATATTAGACTTGAGGCTTTGTTAGACTCCGAAGAAAAAAAAGGTAGCGTAATTTTTTTAAGTCTATTTAATTAGAAGTTTCTTTCCCTTTGGGATATCGTATTCTAATTGTTTGGTTTTTGAGCTCTGCCTCGTTGCAAAAAAATGTTATGAAGTCTATTGGATTGTCTATTTTATTATTGTATTAAATTTTTGCTATAATATTAATCATATTTTATTAATTATTCTAAAAATCATGCTTTATAATTTACATATAAATTTAGGGTCGTTAACTTATTTAAAAGATATTGCTAAAAAATAATTTATAAAATAAAGTAAAATTTTAAAATACCAGACTGAAAAAACACCTAAATCAGATAAATTATATTTAAATCTTAAATTTAAAAAGTAAGTTAGATTTAAACATTCTAAAGTCTAACCTCACTCGTCCCATTTTCATCCGAGACTTAACTATAATTATCATACTTTTATCTTAATAAATTATCATTTTAAAACTGTCAAATAGCTCGGAACTTGCAGAAAAACTAGTTGGGTCAATGATATATTAGCATGATCTGTTATGTGATTGATCAAAATTTGACTCAATTCACAACAGATCAACTCAAATGAGTCAGATTTACTCGAATTAACCCCCCTGTCTTAGAAAAACAAAATAAGAGAATTATGACGTTACTCTCTATTTACGAAACTCTGAATAAAACTATAGGAAACTATCTAACATGATTTGATAAGGTATTTCGGAAGTGATATAAATATTCGCCTTCATGCAACTGACCAGGTGCATAGAACTGCAAATATTGTGATACGATGTTGGGCAATTTTTTATGGATTGTAAAACGTTCTTTCGCCCGTTAGCTTCGTAGAAGTTGCCAAGTATAGCTGGATTCAAGCAATTTGTTTCGTTCATGGAATTTAAATCTCATCCATTTGTATTTTTTTAATACAAAAGAAACTATCATCCACACTCTATGCTGTTTTTTTTTCTATATGGTTTTTATATTTAATAATACAAAAAATATGGATTTTTATTTATTTATTACGTGAATATAAGATTTTATAAAAAATTGTCATTGACGATCTTTGCTCTGAAAAGCATATGAAAAATCGCTGTTGGTGATGTTTGACCAATCAGAAATCTGCCACCATACACTATTGCTTACCATGCTGGTCAGCCAAAGCAATTAAACGACATTAACAATGTTTGACCCATCAGAAATCTGCCATCATACACTATTACTTATCATGCTTGTCGTGTCCATTGGATCGGGAAAATTAATAAATCCGATAATTCAAATCGATCCAAACCAAAAAATAATTTAAACTAATGTTTAACGGGTCTGATCCGATCCAAACAGATCAAATTTGATGTGATTTGGTTTAGATAACAGGTATATTACTGTGTCATCTCCACTTTAGAGAGCGGCTCAATTTGAACCGCTCTCCAAAGTTGACTTCTGAGAGCGGTTATATTTGAACTGCTCTTCAAAGTTAACTTCTGAGAGCGGTTAAATTTGAACCGCTCTCCAAACTTTGCATTTTCAAATTTTTTTTCACAAAACCGAACCAAACCAAGTACCTGGTATCCCTACAAAGCATTACCAACACAAAAAGTAAAGTAAACCTACATGGTTAAGATGGGAGATCTCACTCGTCCCAAGGATCTCAATGCTCCTTTTTCATTCAAGAGTGGCATTAGTTTGAATTGCGGACCAAAGTAAACTGAACTTCATTTGGACTAAATATACCGCAATCAGAATTTCTGGTTGTTTTGGGTTCATTGCCACTTTCCACAACATTCAACATTTTGATTGAGAGAATTCTATGAGTTGAAAACACCTTTCTTGGTGGCCACCTGACAAATAACATGCAAAACATCATTCAGTAAATATAATGCATTAACAAACTTTCTTGTGCTGGTTAATTATTCAAGCAAAATTGAAGAACAAGTACTGTAAGGATATTGAAGCACCAAAGATATATTATAGAACCACACAAATGGTACAGGCGAATATTAAATTATAAAATGGCAAATAACAAGTTTTGTCTGTATCATCTGTGTAAAATTTAAGCTCTCACCTGTAGAGCCAAAGATCTGAGGCCTTCAATTTCCTAGGTCTTTTATGAGCTGATGACGATGGAGCTCCAGGAGCCTAAAAACAAAATTTTCAATATCAACAATAATGATTAGGAAAATGGTCCAAAAGTATGAGGGAAATGAACAATCAAGGATAAATAATTAGACAAACACTTTGTAGTGTACCTTGCGCTTTTGGTCCTTTCTGCCAACCCTTTCCACTGAAACCAGAGTTATATGCATGGCTTTAATAATAAATGGATGAAATTCCTATCATTTACCGAAATTAGGTAGCAGATGCAAATGAAATTAATCTATTACCTCCAAAAGTCATGGGGTCTAGAATAAATGTCCGATCCTGATCCCCACCACGATGCAAAAGCTGTCATTAGTTTCTACATCACAAACTTGTGTTTGGGTAAAAGAATGGAATGCTCGGACAATCACAGGCCTAAAACAATGAAAGCAATAAAGGGGAAAATACCAAAACCAAAATCAGGTTTCTAACCTTTGGCGTGCCTGGTGTTTCACCATATGACCCATCACGGAAAGATGAGCCTTTTGCTTCTTTATATTGCACCTGAAACAAATACCATTACGAGTGATTAAATTAAAGAAATTGGGAAAAGCAAGCAAATACTGACATTGTTACTCCTATAAAATAATAAACATTAGAAAGGCAGCCCTATGGACATTCTAACTAGTGAGATCCTCAAAATCTACTCAAGAATACACAATAAATAATGCTCCCAGTAGCAAATATATCTATCGCAACTCTTATATACTTGTTTCTGGAGATTCAGCTAAGTTAGTATTTCTTTTCTTAGTTCAAGATGCTCTGCACAAATGGCTTTCGTGGGAACCCTTGGTTTCAAATTGACCTGCAATACCAGTAGAACCAAATTAAAAGGGAAATGCATTAGGAATAGAATCATTATTCTTCTTAAGTGATTGGGTATAATATACAAAGGTATAATAACTCATGAATCCAATGATATGCTCAGATTTGATACACATAACAACACATTGCTGCTCAGATTATATGCGTGTGTGATGTATCAAATGAAAAGAATCTTATCATCAATAATCAAGATTAGAACATACAAGTCATGTGAGTTATTTAAAGTCACGTGACTTTTTAAGTGATCATGTGATTTCCTAAATCTTTTAATCTTGACCATCCATGTATAGTTATATGATTCAAAATTATTCCTTTCAGTCTCATGTAATAAAGCTGGTTTTAAGCTTAAATAAGCTCAAGTATATTTTTATGTTATAATATAATATAATGAGGCTAGTTAAGCTGACATAAGCCAAGCCTAGATAGATCTCTGAAACTAAAAGTATATAGCTCATTTGCAGCCATACACACAAAACCAAATACCAACTTAATAGTTAAAACAGGCATTTAAAATCATCAGCCCTCCAAAAATGAAGAACATAAGGGCTTTATAAATAGGCCGTAGCCTACTAAACAGTAATACTAATGAGTACCCTGAGAGGGTACTAGATAGAGAATAAAAACATAGAAAAGTATTTAATAAAAGTACAACAATTAATAAATTGAAAACTTAAAAGCTTTATTTTTTATTTAACATTTTCCATTTTCAAATCCTTAACAACTGCATTAAGGCACTCACTAACATTTGTCTTTATATACTGTAACAAATAAAGATCAGTGAATACCACACGACTGCACCAAGGACAAAAAAATGAAATATCATAACTGCATAACAAAGGTGTAAAAACAAACTCCAAGATCTTGCAAAGTTTTTCAACCCGCTTGATAGTTCGAAGTCCAGCAGAAGAGTTTGCAGCTTGTACCATTTGCTCAAGAGCATATGTTCTCAAATATACATGAAGCTGAAATGTTTCGCTGTCAGACTATGTTCAAATGTATAAGGATAAAAAAAATTGCTGAAATGGCCTCTCATAAAAAACTATTATTGAAATATTATAATTAATACATGATCAATTTTTTTAACATCAGTGCCCATGCTAACCTTTCCTATGGGCAGAGCAGGGAATGAGATTTAGGAGGTGCTAAAAAAATGTGTCAGTGAACAGAGGATGCATCACCATAAACCTTTTGTATAACTTACCATGCGAAGAGAAGCTAAAGTAGATGTGTTATCTGATAATGTAGAAGGCACAACCATTGATGGAAGTTGCATATTGGACGGAGATATAGTCTCACCCGGGACAGTCCTCTCTGTAACTTCCGCACCAGCATTAGAAGCAACCAACTGAGACTCTTCAGCAACCTAAAACGCATAAAATCAAGCATGTGTTATCTCAATACACACAAAGCT